CATGCAGTGCACGCCCAAGTTGGGCGTGCAAGCTGCATTTGGGCGCCCGAGTTGGGCGTCCAGCGCAATTTTTTTTTTTTAATGTTCGAACGCCCAAGATGGGCGTCCAAGGCGTGTACGAACGCCCGGAACGGGCGTTCGTACATACGGCCTTGGGCGTTCGAACATTTTTTTGCAAAAAAAAAAGCCCTACTAATCGATTTGTAAGGTTTTTTAACATGAAATTGGTTCCGTAATCGACCTACCCAATGCATATTACACATAAAAGAGTCGAAATTACATCAAAAAATCGAAGCCCAACCCTTCTTCAAGCTTGATTTCGAATTTTCGAATTTTTTTTTTTTGTTTTTTTTTTTTTGCTATTTGCAGTTTTAGGGGGTTTTTTGATATTCTTAAAAGTTTTGGGGGGGTTTTGTTATAAACCGCGAATAGCAATTTTGTGACCGCAAATAGCATTTCATAATTTTTATTACAACCAAAAAACAGCATTTTTATTACTGCTGATAAAATTACACATCTTTGAGGAACAATTACCAAATTGCCCCAGTCAAAGTACAAGAAACATCAAATAGAATTTTATTACAAAACCACCCAGAAACAATTGCTTCACAGATTTCTCTCTGTAAAAAATAATAATAAAAAAATGAAATATATACACACACACACACACACACACCAACCACAAAACACACATCTCCTGAAGCAGAACATACCAAATAAAGTGAACTGTAAAACTCATCTCCTTTCATTTGTCCAACATTGCACCTGCACAAAATTAAAGTCTAAATATTATTACACACGAAAAAGATCAATTTTTTTTTTTTTTGAATTAAAAGAATAAAAATAAAATAAAAAATCTCACAAATTGAACGAAAAAAATCACTGATCCGGTGGATAAACAGACAGCTTAAATCCATTCCCTCTGCCACTCTGCTTCCCCTGCAACTCCATTTTCCTCCCCTCAATCTTCCTAGCAGAAGCCGCCACCGATTCATTCGTACAGTAAATATCCACTACTTGCAGGCACACCACATCCCCAAACACCAGCGGCAGCGAAGCAAGGTAACCGCAGTGTTTGAGAAAAAGATGCCTCAACCTCGGAAAATGATTCCCCGAAGCAACATTCCACGTAACCAAATTAGTCCTCCCAATATGCAAGACCCTCAAGCCCCTAAAACCCCCGTCCTCCGTTTTCCACCACTCGCCCTTAAAGGCATTGTCCTTCAACTTAAGCACTTCAAGATTCTCCAACATTCCAAGGGTAGACATGTCTTTCCACTCGAGCAAAGTGTCCGACAATGTCAACTTCCTCAGGTTCGGAGGAAACTTATACGGATGAGGAAGTCTGCTCAAACTCCCTTCAGAAGGCGGACGAGGAAAAACATCGTTTATTAACTTCAAATTCTCCAAATGACTCAATCTCCCCAAACTATCGAACAACATACTCCCGTTTTTAATTTCGAGAAGTTTACCTAATTGCCCCCGAATGCCCAGCACTTTCAGATTCGGTGCACGAGCGAAAACCTCCTCCGTGCAGCTCTCGGGCGAGACTGTGGAAAGTGTTTGGAGGGTCCCACTCATCAAGACTTCATCTTTACTCTTCCTCGACCTCGAAAGTGGGCCCGGCAAAACAGTCGAAGCGTTCGTTTTCACATGCCTCAGTTGGATCATCTTCCATATATCCGCTTTAATGTCAAGAACCCTCGAAGAAGTCTCCACAACTAGGGTTTGCATGTTCCATAAGCTCGAAATTGCCTCAGGCAGCATCTTGAAATTGCTCGAGAGCACAATGTACCTCAAGTGAACCAATTTGGTAAGATCAGTTGGAAAACGGGTAAAAATCACAGAGCGGGCATCCAATACCCTAAGCAATTTAAACGCACCGGGAATCGTAGAATTATGCTCCGTTGGCAAAATAGTCTCGTCGCTCGAGAAGGACAAGAACGAACGAACACGTGGGCCCTCAGGCTTCGAAGAGATATAGTTCAACACACGTGTGTGTATGCATAGTCTACGGTACTTCTCCAAAGCAGGGTTTGAAGAAACATAGCTGCCTCGATCGAACCGTTTTATCTCTTGGAAGAAATTCTCCTCCGCAGCTTCCTTCTTGCAGAACTCGTGCAACATATCATGTATACGACATGTTTTAATCTTGCCGTTCGATCTCAACCGTCCGACCATCACTAAATTTCTGCTCACAAGATCTTCCAAATACTCCTCTGCAATATCCTCCCAGCTCATTTCTTGATTCTGTTGTATGAAACCCTCTGCAATCCAAAGACGAACGAGCTTCCAAACGGGTATTTCAAAATCTTCCGGAAACATCCCGAAATAAATAAAGCACGCCTTTAAATGGTACGGCAAATGATTGTAGCTCAAAGCTATGAAATTGTCCACACGTTTATCCTGGTCCATCGCAATATAAGCATCGACGCTTCTCGCAACTCTTTCCCACCAATCGGTTCCTTTTTCAAGAAGAATCCCGCCGATCACAACTATAGCAAGTGGTAGCCCTTGACATTCGTTTGATATATGCATGCCATCTCTCATAAACTCCTCAGGGCAATTCTCTGCACCCAAAGCCTTTCTCTGTAGCAACTTCCAGCTCTCTTCGGGGGTTAAAAACCGTAAATTATGAGGCTCTAAATTAGGGTTTGCATGTATAGCAACTCTCTTGATACGACTGGTTATAAGTATTCTACTCCGTTTATTGTTTTTCGGGAAAGCGATTTTGAGGTCATTCCATGCTTCTTCGGTCCACACATCGTCCAAAACTATTAAGTATTTTCCCTTTTCCAAGAATTTGTAGAGCTCTTTGGATAAATTTTCGTCGTTCATTTTGTACATGGAATCTGTGAGCTGTGTGAAATTGCTGAGGATGTTGAGGAAGAGTTCTTTTCTGCTGTAGTCTTGTGAGACGTACACCCATGCGCGGCTGTAGAATTCGTATTCGATTTTGGAATTGCGGTAAATCATTTTGGCTAGGGTGGTTTTGCCGAGGCCAGGCATGCCGACTATTGAAATGACTTGTAGTTCGTCGGACCCTCCGGTTAGAAGATTGATCACCTTTTCTGCCTCGTCTTCGAAACCGACAACGTTGTCTTCTTCAACAACTGGAGGCTGTGTAATAATCAAGAATCAATAATCAAGAATGACTTAGTCCAGGAAAACTGGTTAAGTTACTAAAAAGCGAAATTTATCTATTCTATCGCGTAAATCATACATAAAGTTGATTCGGATTAGGAGTGGAAATCGGACCAACCGGATGGGAATTGGTCTTCAGAAAAAATCCATTTTTTCGGAAGTGGAAAACTAATTCTAATTCCGTTCCCGAAAAAAACGGAGTTCCGATTGGAATCGGCGTAATTCGGAAATTTCAATTTTTTTAGTCACATATACTACAAAAGTACATAATTATTTGCAGTTTTCGGAAAATAATCTTAATTCTCGGAAACATGTTCGGATATTAAAATCAAATCGGAAAATCTGAATCCAATATGTATTTTAATTCCGTTCCAAAAACAAATAAAAAAATCGGAATCGGAAACTTTGGAATTCGAAATGAAAATATTGTTCCAAAATCGGAAAATTTCAAAAACTTGCTATCAATGAAAAACACATAAAAATGTTTTCTAATATTTAGATTTCCAACATCAAAGTTAAAATTTCAAAAAGTTTATTCTGAGTTGTGAAATAAGGTAAGAATATGAGACCAATTTATTACATCACAATTTTGAATTTTTCTTTTGACGTTGACTTTATTGACCAGCAGAAACTTCAACCCGACGATGATTATCAAAGAAGAGAGGAGAGCCCTTTTGTGAATTTACCTTTTTCTCCTTCGTCCCACCGTTAGATCCATCGCCGACGTTGACGATTTCGAATCCAAACTTCTTATGCTCGTAAATATCCTTAACCTTGGTCCGGATCGACTCGATTTCCCTCCCGACATTGCGAAGCTTGGCCGGATAATCGAACATGTGCAGAGCTTTGGAAAGGGGCTTCCGGGCCTTGTGGGCAGCGGCTTGGGCGACGAACGAATCGATGGCGTCTTCGGCCTCGTACACCACGTTTCTGATCTGCTTGACCAGCTCCTTCAAAGTCTCGTGCTTGCTGCGCTTTTCGGTCGAATCTTTGAGGAAAGCTTTGAACAAGGTGAGGTCGTTGTAGAGGAATTCGACCTGGTCTTTGATGTCGGTAATCAGTTTGGCGTTGTAGAGAAGTAGTTGCTTGAGATTCTCCAGCAGGAATTCCACGGCGGCGTCCGCCATTTTCTCTCTGCGGCTTTTCGTCGAACAGTTGGTAGACAGTCGCCGGAGGTTCACAGTAGTGTTGAAGTTTTGGAAGTTGACCCAAGGTGCAACTAACTGGTCGTTATTTGTTTATAGTTCTTCCAATTGAGCTACCCCTTTTTATGATGATTAGATTTAGCACTACTATTTAAAATATCGTTTTCGACTTTAAATAAGAGTTTGACCATTTTCGAGGTTGAATTTTTGCAAAACTCTAAACACGAATTATGTAGTTTTTTAGTTAGTTTTTTAATCCAACTTGAATTACCTAAATTGGATGTTGGATGAGAAATATATGAATGAATCGATGAACAGTGCTCACAACTTTAATATTTGAAGTTATTTAAAATTCAGAACGTAATTTATCCGTGCATAATTTTGTCATACGATATTTAATCAAGTTGATTCAAGTAGGACTAAAGTAACTCAAAGCACTACAATTTTCATTTCACAATCACAAGTTTTTTTTTTTCTTCTATTACATTAAAATCACCAAACCATTCAAAACAATGTATCTCGAGTACAACTTCTATAATGTTTCATAACTTAATACATTTTCTTAATTAACTAGATAGAAAATACAACACTTTTTTTCAATAGAGATCACATAAATTTTATTTTGTTGAAGCAAGCTAATCCAAGACGACGTTTAACGAGCCATGTCGGATGGGAAAAGAGGGGGCACGGTTGCACCTTCACGTTTCCACTTGTCGACGTTTCCTTCCCAACCTGCACATAATTTAATACTAACTTATATGAAATTTCAACGATCGAAGAATAATTATTAATTAAGCTCGTGAAATTCAACGAATGAAGAAAAAAAATGCATGGGAAAATGAGAATCGATTACCTAAGGAAGGTTCAACACCGCGATTCTTGAGTTCTCTGTATTCCTGTGTTATGGCGCACACACAACAGCAACAATGTACCATCGCATCGGAATAAGGAGCTTCCGGTAATTTGAAAAGCGCTCGGAGTTTCGTTCTGTAATTGGTCGAGTACAACCAGGTGCAGTGGACCATGTGTAGCGCAGCAAATATACCACACGCAGTTCCACTCGCTATGTACGCGCCAAAATAGCAATTCAAAAAACAATATGCTGTTATTTTTTGGTCCAAATCTTCAAATTTAACCCCATAAATAAATCATTATTAATTTTTTTTTTTACTATTTACATTATCGAAATCAGAAATATTTCTAAGAAAACTCGACAAAGAAATTATCAAAAAATGAAAATATAAATCAAAAGATTTTAATTAAAACAAAAAGTAATCATGCAAAAATAGAAGGAAAAAGTAATTAATTTACGTGTATTCCCTCGGTCAATAATCTCAACATTTTGCCCGAAGATGATCCACGGACAACAGAAAGTCTCGAGACCTTCAAAAAACACGAACGAGAATTGGATTAGTATATAAATAAAATATAATTAATGATTATGTATTAGTGAAGTTAATTACAATTAGAGCGATCCTGCATGCAATCAAACAGCCCAGTAGACCATTCGCCCTCAGGCAATGGCGTGTTAAGGTTCATACTTAGCGATAATTAAGAATGTATTAGATTTAATTGAATGATATATATGGATTTATGTTGAAGTTACTATATATATACTGCAATTGTTCAACCAAATGGAATTGTTAATTAATTTATTTTTTGCAAGGAAATTGCTAATGATATATTTGGTTGCTTCTGTTGATTATGTATATTAGTACATATATATAAAAAATATGCATATAATTGACCAAATTTGTTTACTCTAATCTTTGATATGGTTGAGATTTGTTCAAGTTGATCATAATGTTTAAATATTACATTAACTAGCATTATTGTTGAATATTTGAAGTTCTATTTCTTCTTCAAACCAGATTAGTAGTATTTAATTATTATAAAAAAAGAATAAGAGTTGACTTTAAATTTATTTTACGATAAATTCGAGTATTTGGAAACTTCGTGCAGGATTTGAAGAATCCGATTTGTCTTCGAGAGGATATGACTGAGCTGTGAGCTCCAGATTACTTGTGCTCTCGTCTTGCCTGTAATTATTTAAAACTACTTAATGATTATTAAATAAGAATAAAGACAGATTTTTATTTTTCATAATCTTTGGAGGATTTTTTTTTTTTTATTCTAACTTCTAATTTATTCTTTTTCCTCGTGATTTTGTTGACTATATATGTGATATATAATTTTATATAAAATAATTATTGACAAGGGAAGTTTTTTAAAGCATTTTTTGTTGTAGCATTTGGCCATGATTAGGGGAGAAAATCGAACAGGTTGGAACGAATATTTTTAAAAATTCCATAACCTGCAAATTCTCATCTTCCAATATTAATACATGGAAATATTGTTGATTCTGATTCAATTTATTGGTTATTGGCAAAGAATGCTACGCGGAATAGACATGGTTGTGGGCCGGAACCGGATTGCAACCGGCCCAGCCCGGTAGATGGTGGGTCGATTCCAGTTTACACATTTCAGAACCCGTGATTAATGAAGTAATACAGAGAAGTTGAAAAACAAAAAAGGGTAGTTTTGGCGAATAACAAAAAAAAAATCTTAAATCAAGGCTAATTTGTAACTTTATTAATTGATGTGCATTAACCTTAAACGACACTTAAAAAGAAACCGGGTGTACATTGTTTCACCAAGAAACAAATTGCATGAAATCCCTCATAAATTTAATTCCATAATGTGAAATAAAGTGTTCTACAATCATCTCCCTGGAGCAAGATCGATCGCATTTTAATATATTTGTGCCTCAAAGAATATTCCACGAGTACATGAACTGAATTTAGAGTGTATCTACTAACATCTTTATTAAATAAAAACTACATAAATTAAAAACAGATGAAGGTCCGAGGTCGAGGTACTCGAAAACCCCATAACCCTCGTGCCATCATCGTGTTAGCCGACAAATATATCTTGCTCAAATGAGTGTTCCACACAAATCTTACTACAACCTCTTCTCCTGCAAATGTAAGAATATAACTATTGATTAATAATCATTTTAAAAACACTATCGAAATATAATAAATCATAGCATTGATATATAAATTAAAATTACCTCGACATAGGACGATGAAATCAATGGTTTTCTTCTCTTCTTGGTAATATTCTCCATGAATTGATGAAGTAATATTAATAATTATGATTGAAATGAGAAGGAAGTAGCACCTTTACTGTGTGTATAGAAGCTAACAAAAAAACTTGTATTTATAGAGAAAAACGTGTTTGGTAATAACAACTTTTTTGGTTGTTGGAGGTCACACGAGTTTAGCCCTAGCCACCCTTCCTAAGTAACAAACACTCTTTAACTCCCCCAATGTACCTATACCTACTTATTTTGTATTTTATGGTATATTCTTTTTGGTACGAGTTAATTGCACAGATACCACTGTGAAATGTCTACTTACCATAAAATACCCCATTTTAAAGAATTAGCATTTACCCACGGGGCAACTATTTCAAATCCCAACTATTGCTTACTTGAATACTACCAAGTTGAAAACCACAATTGAGTACATATTTATAAATTTTTTTCTTACTTTAATACCAAAATAAAAAGAAAAGTACAAAAACACCCTTTCATACAAAATATCAATTATATCAATTTTTTTTTGAAATTACCTATTTGAAAACCAAAAAAAAAAAAAAGCAAAAGAAAAATATTTCATTCCACCGCTCCAACCCTCCCTCGCCGCCGGACGTCACCGCCGCTCCAACCCTCGCCGCCGCCGGACGCCACCGCTGAACGCCGCCGCCGCTGAATCCATTGTTATCAAGCCGCCGCCGTCTTCGAATACAAGTAATATTTGTTTTCGATTTTTTTTCTTTAATATTTATTTAGGATTTGATTGTTTGATATGCGTAATTAGGATTTGGTTGTTTTAGGTAGGAATGATCGTTAATTAGTAATGGGTGCATCTGATTTCAGTCGATTTGAGCATTGATTTGAGATTCGTGGGTCGGTTCTTCGTTCACAATATTCGACCTGTATATGTCATTTTTTTTCGAATTTTTCGACAGATTGATGTCGAAAATTCATCCAAAATCGACATATAGTTGTCGATTGTTTTGAAATCTTTGAATTGAATGTTTGATAATTCGACAATGTGATGTCGAAACCAATTTTCGACAGTTTGCTGTCAAATTCATTATGTGTAATTTTTTTTTTTTTTTTTATTTATTTATTAATTTTTTTTCTTTCCTATTTTTATTTGCTTGTGTTTATATTATGTATATTTATTTTTATTTGTGTGTTATTTTGCAGTGGAAGAACCACGTGAACCTCGTATACCTCCGACTGTCTCGAACCGTAAGAAGATGAAGGAATTATCCGATAAGGGCAAGGGCAAGGCAATCACGACCAAGAAAAAGACCACGACCAAGAAGAAGTCTGGAGAGGGTTCTTCCTCAACGAAGCCGGTGCCGGCTCTTCCCTCGACTGTAGACGTTGGTGATTCGAGCAACGAACCGGTCAGAGGTCCCGATTTAGTTGATGGATTGTGTGTGATGGATGTTGTTTGATGGATTCTATTTGATTTACTTGTTTTTTAATTTAGTTTTATATGGATTTTGATTGTTTTAAATGAAATTATTTTTGATAATTTGAAATTTTAATTTTTTTTGTTCAAAAACACTTAGAATATGTTTTTTATGTCCTACGTCCTCTATCCCCGTCACTCGAACCCGCAATCATTAACACCATTCCAATTCTTTTACATACTTCACGAACCCATGCCAATAAAGCTTCTTTTGTTGGGAATTTTTCTGACGTGGTAAATGAATGGGTGCAATCGATCTACACAAAAGTGGAGAAAATATAAGACAAGTAAATTTGCAACAGGCACAAAATCGACATTTAAGTGTCGAAAATGACCTCAATTTTCGACACATAAGTGTCGAAAATATGGGCAAATTCGACACTTAAGTGTCGAAAATAGAGGTCATTTTCGACACTCGAAAATATGGGCAAATTCGACACTTAAGTGTCGAAAATAGAGGTCATTTTCGACACTTAGGTGTCAAAAAATGTAGTAAAATTCGACACTTAAGTGTCAAAAATGAATAAAATATCAATTGCCATCAATTTTCGACACATACATGTCGAAAAATAAGCACATTTTCGACCTGTATATGTCGAAAATTGATGGCGAATTTAAAAAAAAAAAAAAATCAAAATCGATGTTTTAGCTCAAAAAGTACATGAATACATACCTTAATGGGTTCTCCTTGCTCGTAAACTACCATTCTATTGTTATTTGACGCCATTTTGCAAGTTGTGTAAGGTTTTGATTTCTTTAGTTTTGAGGTTTTTTAGGAGGGTTTTTGGGTGAGGGAGAAGAAGGAGGTGGAGGAGGTGAGGGGTTTGTAAGTGAGGAGGGAAATGAGTTTTTTAGGGTTTTTGATTATTTGGTATTTAAGAAAGAAAAATAGTATTTGTAATATTTTTTTGGTTTTAATTTCCATTAAGGGTATTAAAGTAATTTACAATTAATTATTTATTTTTTATTTTTTTGGTATTCAAGTAAGCAAAAGTTGGGATTTGAAATAGTGATCACCTTTACCCACCGATGTGTTTTGTATAGCTCACCGGCCTTTAAATCAGATTTGGATGTTGACTTAATTGAAAAGACGAAATTACCCCCAGAATAAGGCAAAAGACCAAAAATTAGGTTGGTATGATCAATGGAGGTGCAATACGAAAAAATTATTACCTTTAGAGGGTTGAAAGTGCTATTAATTTTATTTTTTATTACAAAGTAGCAAAATACTACATTTCGAGGGTACAAAGTGGAATTAAGCTTTAAAGATTTCATGAAAGATCAGCCATACAATTGAAAATAAACTGCTGTCAAAACATTAGTAAAATGATCCACAGAGGGTAAAGGAAGAACAGAGGAAAATAATCAAGATACGCAATAGTGGTTAAACGTATAAAATAATATATATTTCTAAAACCAAATTCGAATTATACGGCAAATTGAAAAACGGACATACACAATAGAGAAACACAAGCACTGGAATTCAAAACATCACGGACTTGTCTAGCTCGACATCATCACATTGTCAATTGACTGAAGAGCTTCGTTCGCGAAAAAACGAACATCTACATCAGGGTCCTCCGAAAGCTCTACCAAGCTGGGGCGAATCGTTTTCTCCACCACCTGCAGAGGGCAATGAAGTTAAAAGATGGTATTTGCATTAACCTTTTGAGAAAAAATAGAAGTTAATAATTATCGGTTTCGACTTTCGTGTATGTTGATGTGTTTGCAAAATATTTGTTTCAATTTTCAGCTTATTTCTGTAAAATGTTAATTGTGAGCCAAAAAACACTCGAAAACAAATTATGGGCTAAAAAAACCCCGTAATCTGTTTTCAAAAGCTTTTTCAAACACAATGAAGCTAAAGAAAGAGATGAAGGATGCAAGGAAACTAACAGATTGATCGACAATGGGGATCATGGATTGCAACACCTTTGCCACGTTGAATTTAATATTGGGAACTCTGTATAAATATAATATTCAGGTAAGTTAGTTGAGGAAAAACTGAAAATATTAGAGTATGGTAATGTAGAAAGACATGGAAAGGCAAGAATTACCTGTCCTTTGATGCAGTAACAATGACTGGTAATAATTTAGAACATGTGATCTCAGAACCCATGACAGGGGCAAGTAGGGAAATTGCACGAAGAACGGTCATCCTATATAAATAATGTGGATTGTTTATCATGTCCAAAACCTGCATGAAAGATGACAGGATTACTTCATTGTTAGAACATGCTTAAGACAAACGAGCCACGAATAATGTAGGAGTAAGTAACAGAGTTGCACAAAAGGAGAGGCATCAGATCAGATACGAGTCGTGCATAAACATAAAATCCAGCTTTTTTGTGGAAAAGATTAACAATTTGTAAGATCATAAAAGTTATATGAAAGGCTATCATTTGCTAATCTTCCACATACCTGAGGAACTATATGCTGCATTGCCCACTCTGGACCGAATTCTTCTGCCAGACGTTTCAAATTATTAGCTGCGGCATCTCTAATAGAGTAAACCTGGAAAAATATCCGGAAAGTTAGACATATGTTTTTGGGTTTGAAAGATTTCAATTTCATACCAGCCCGACCCACTTCGACCAAAAAAAACTAAGAGGGAAAGGGAAGAATGTAACAAAGAGTAAGAGAATGAAAGAGTCGTGCATTTACACATAACCGGCAAAACATGGAAAATCTGAACGAATATATCTTCATCCACAGTTGAAGAGACAAAATATCACACCATTATTTTTGCATAGTCTCCAATTTATTGCAGTTAAAATGGGAAGAAAAAAATATTATTATTGTATGGTGAAAAGAGAAACTCCGACCTTGTCCTGTAGCCACTGCATGCAAAGAGCACCGAGCTTATCGTCGAAAAAGCCAACACCCAACTGACTAGCCAATAAAGGTATGTATTCTATTATGGCAAGGCGAACCCTCCAATGCCTATCCTCTGCTAACTCAACAATAGCTGGTAATAAAGATTGAGAGAGTAAATCAATTCCAATCACCTGCATGTGCAGAAAAAGTGTGTAAGTTGGCATGGTACTTTCTGAAACAACAGAAGAATGGAAATGGGATAATATATACCTGATTGACTTGATCTAGCTTGCTAATGATGTTTAGGCGAACATCGGGAAATTCATCTTTAAGAAGAGAAAGGAATATGGGAAGAAGTTGTTCGATAGTTGCATCCTGCATCAACCAGACAATCCAATATTGAAAACCCCATAGAATCATGATAGCAAGTAAGGAAGAAGTCAAGAATTATCTATATATGACAGATTGTTTACCAATCAATGCTACAAAAACAAACTTTGCAGAAAACTTTAGTTGCAATTTTCAGACACAAATATAGCTTAAAAACTTAAAAATTAGAGTCAAGGGACAAAAAGAGCATCTAACACCAATTCTTTCCATCCCAACAAATATTAGAAGTTGCAGCCAAAAGAACTGAAATTGATAAAATATAGAACAACAAGCTACTGCCGCCTCAGCAAGTGTCTTGACTATCTAATAACAGATATTTTTGGTGCATAACATAATGAGTAGAGATTAGAAATGGTAGGCAACATTACCTGGGTCGAAGTAGAGGAAAGAAAAAAATATTATAATGCCTAGGCCACGCAACGAAGTAGCAGTGCTAAGTATGAATCCATGAATGTATTGACTCGGATAGTTACTAATAGAAGCTTAATAGGAAGACTGTAAAAGACAATATGTATAATTATGCCGTAGGGAAGACTATTGTCTGATTGATGATTCTTATTAAGCAGAACGATTTTGTAGTGTATTATTAAAATTTATAAATGTTGTAGTACCTACAAAACAATGACAGGCAAAATGAAACATTCCATCACCTAGCTATGCATCCATAAAAGATGTGTTTGCATCCACACAGTATCTCTCTTAATTAAACATGTTATTACCTTTCCCAAAACAGGAGCCATTCCCATTATGACTGATGCCAAAGCAGACCTTACATGCTGTGAAGAATCAGATGACAATTCCTGCAAGAGAGACCTCGCATTATAGACAGTAAAACAAAAGACCATGATACGAATAGATTTACAACAAACATATAAATCCAGCTTTTGATTTGTGCACAATGGATGCTACCTTTACACAGGGAAGAATATGCTGGATAGCAAGTTCGGGATTAAGAATCCGACAGAATTTTGTGACTTTTCCAGCAGCTGCTATTCTCACTTCGGCTTCATTGTCTCGAAGTAGGCGGACATATGCAGGAACCAAATCCGTCCTTGAAACATCACATATTTCCCTTGTGAATATTAGCTATTCTAACAAGATTGTTAAGTAAAAACAATTGACATCCTTATATGTCAACAAAAGTTTGATGATGGTCATAATTAAGAAACTCAAATCATAACGTAACATTCACGCATAACAAGGGAAAGGCAATTGCACGTGTTTATGTAGAAGTATTTTGACTTTACAATAACTAATATGGTTAGGAGGATAGCATCAAATGTATGAGGGAATAAATAAGTGCCTTTGTATGTGTACACTTGTGCAGCCACAAGTAGTATATTATATACAAGGTGCACAAGTGCATATAAAATTTCGTGAATTAGTGACTAAATCCTGAGTTTCCAGATTTGTTGTATCTATTAGTCAAGAAATCATATATCCACATTTCAAGTCCTGGTCCCTTCTCATGACGATACTATACAAAACCGAAATAAAGAAGCGAAAGGAAAAATAATAGCACTTTTTACTAAGGCGGCCATATACCAGTCACTTGCTAAACAACTTAACATCCACATAAATTTAAAGGGACAAATAATATAGTGCCCTATGAGATGCAGAATAATAAAATAGAAACCATATATTAAACATATACCTAGTAGGTTCAGGCCCCACAGCCTCACAGAGCTCATACAACTGGTTGGCCACCATGTACCGAACACGCCAAGACTTATCCTGATAAGTATAATAAGTAAAAACAAAATTAACAAGACTAGGGATAAGAACGAAAGAAGCCAGTGACATCCACTTCCACAGAAGAAATAACTAATTAGCATTTTTCTTTATGTGTTGCAACATAGTTCATTTTCATGCTTAAGAAAATAAAAATTACACATTCACTATTTGTCAGAACTCAGCCGTAAGTTACAGTAAGTCAGTAACATATTTGAAAAAAGGAAGGTGACCGGAAGTTTTTCCACCAACAAGGGGCAGAGTAGAAAGATAAACAAAATATCATACATCTGCAATTAATGATTCAACAAGAGAAAATGGCTGCAACAATGTAATACGAGTCTAACAATATAACTAGAACTAGCAACATAATTTTTGAAGTGTACCTGCGAAAAGTTGACAATTACAGGGAGAATATGTGCTACACAATCTTGAGGTTCCAATAACTTTCCAAGAGCAGCACAACCCTCAACAGCTAGCAGGCGAACAGAATCCTGATCTGGAAAGAGATACTAAGAGAATTAATCTTACTTCTCCACATGCTGTTACATTTCCTAGCTAGTGTAGAATAACAATACGTGATCAAAAAATTTCTTAATCACATAAATAAAAAAAAATCGATGCTTGTACACCTTCATATACAAAAATAAGTAAATCTTTCGTAAGCAATTATCATAAGATGCAAAAATAAAAAAGTATTATATACCGTCCTGTGTAAGATCCTCAAACATGGACATGATGTCACTTTTAAGATGAGCAGCTTCCACAGTGGCAGCAAATTTCCCCAAATTCGTGGCAGCAGCCCTTCTCACCATTGGCATATCATCTTGACACAATTGGCTGTATATTGACCTTAATTCTGTCTTTAACGTATCTGAGGCACTTGGGTAGGCAATATGAAACAGTCCACAAGCTGAGACTCGAGCTGTAAACCATTCACCAGCTGCTAGCCTCTGTAAATTAACCGACATGCCAAAAATTAAACATGAGAATTAGATAGAGTAGTGGCTTCAATGCCAAAAAAATATGAGAACACTTTGGTGAGAAAGAAATTGTTCACATGCCAAATGTAATGACTAGCGTAGATATTCTTCTTTTGAGGTGATAAGGATCAATGATCTAAGTGCGTTATACCACCACTCCTACTACTGATATAAATTTCAAAAAAAATCTTTACAGGAAAAAACGGGAAAATGCATCATAAAATATGAATTATCTGAAGTTTTCAACTGTCTCCGTGCTAGCCTACTTGATATGTAATGAATATTACATTGGTTATAGTAGCATAAAAACGACGAAAGAAACTGCAAACTATCTTACATTCTTAATACAATCATTAGCGTATACAGATAAAGACCAAACCCCAAGATCGAGATCCGTCATAATTAATTACATGCTGCTGTCTCACGCTTTGATAATGAATAATAGTTTCAAGTAGTCCCATCCCTCAGCTCATAATATAAATGTAGAATTTGCACAGAGTACCAAGAAAAATCATCACACATCATAAATACTGAAAGACCAGATAATGAAAGAAGCTCTAGATTACAGCTGACCTTGACAAGAGGAATAAACCAGTCAACCAAATCATTTTCCTTCATCTGCGACCCAATCCTGCATAGCGACTCTACAGCCTTGTCCCTCACACAGGTCTCCTCCACAGTACAGAGGGTTTCCAGAGGCGGGAGCAATATATGAGCATGATCCACCCCCTCAACATAAGGAATGAACACACCCAATTCTTCAG